TAAGCGACTATTATGTGGCTAGCAGTGCAGTAAGTGTGGGAAAAACATCAGCCTTAAAACGTGAGTATAAATCTGATCACGTTTATCAGGAGAAAAAAATGACAGCACAGTAACTCAATGATAAAAATGCCCCTGCTATCATGGAGGCATGGAATGGAGGCTCCTGACTCCGGCTGAGTCTCTGAGACCTAGTTACTGAGCAGCAGGGGGAATGGTGAAGAGGTGAGTTTAGAGGGCCTAAGCCTGCTCTTCCTGAGAAGGAGCCTCCAAGGGCTTTAAGCAGGGAAGCAGGCAGGTCAAGTTAGAGTTTCAGATGTCCAGCAGGGACCGGGAATTTGCTGAGAACAACAGGGGGGGGGGGGGGGGTGGGAAGATGAGTTGGGAGGGTACAGAGTGCTGAAAGTATAAAAGCAGGAGTGGAAACCGCCCCTTTACAGTTAGAAGCAGCCTACTGGGAACGGTCTTTCTGAGGCTGGAGTTCCCTCTGGCTGAGAATGGAGGCTGAGGGGTGCTGGCCTAGCAGGTGGCGGAAAACGGAGCCAGCCAGCGTTTCCGACCAGCACAGCCTCCCTAAGTCTACACATGTGCATTTGCTGCTTTTTGTCCCACTGTACCCCCTCTTTCTTCAAAAGCTGTTTGCATCACTGAACCTCACCCAGAGATGGGGCTTTGAAGTAGAAGAAGTCTCCTGTCTTTCTCAAGGCCAGCTCTAAATAAAACCCATCTTTTTCCAACCATTTTTTTGGGGGTGGGGATGCTGGAAATTGAACCTAGAGGAGCTCTGCCAGTGAGTTACATCCCCAGACCTCTTTACATTTTGAGACAGGGTCTCACTGAGTTGCTCAGGTTGCCCTTGAATTTGCGATCCTCCTGCCTCAGCCTCCTGAGTTGCTGGAATTACAGGCGTAGGCCACCAGGCCTCCAACTCCTGAATTGTAATGGCGCCTAGCAGTGGAACTTTCATCACCAGTAACAGCAAGTTTTCAGGGAAAATGGCACATTCATTTTGAGGTTCCAAGAACAGTCAGAAAGCGATGTCCAGTAAGGACTGGATCAGTATCTTGTGCCTGAACCTTGGAGTAAGAGACTATACTGGAATCGCATATCCACAAACATCCTGGGAGAGATGGCTTGGAAAAATGTTAACTGCCTAACTAGGACTTTTGGTAAGTTTTTTTTGTTTTGTTTTTGTTTTTTTGGTGAGTTTTTATTTTCCTAATGTTTTTACTTTTATAACCAGCAAAAGCATATTTTAAGTTTATCTTCCAGGCTTTTTTTCCCCTTTGTCTAATCTTTTTAAACAAATTTGGACCATATCCTATATAGAAAATTATGCATTTTCACTGAAAGCTTTATTTGGGAACAATACTGTGTCTCTCACCCTTTGGTCGCTTTCCTTTACACATCTCCCATTAATTTTCTTAAGATCCCACCATCTTCCTTTTCCTTTTCCTGTCTAGTTTCTGCTTATGGGAGAAACCATTTGACCCTTAAACTTAACATAATGGTCTTTAGTTCCATACATTCTCCTGCGAATGACATAATTTCATTCTTTATGGTTGAATGAAACTCCATTGTTTATATACACATTTTCCTACATTCATCCACTGATGGACACCTAGACTGGTTCCATAGTTCAACTGTTGTGAGTTATGTTGCTGTAAACATGGGTCAGCATGTGTCACTGTAGTATGATGACTTTGATTCTTCAGGATAAATACTAAGGAGTGGTATAGATGGGTCATATTGTGGTTCCATGCCTAGTCTTTTGAAGAATCTCCAAACTGATTTCCATAGTGGTTGTACTTATTTACAGTCCCACCAACAGTACAAAGGTTCCTTTTCTCCACATCCTCTCCAGCATTTATTATTTGTATTCTTTTTTTTATGTTTATTTTTTAGTTGTACACAATACCTTTATTTTGTTTATTTATTTTTATGTGGTGCTGAGGATCCAACCTAGGGCCTCACACGTGCTAGGCGAGCGCTCTACCTCTGAGCCAGAACCCTAGCCCCTATTATTTGTATTCTTATTTTTAAAAAATATTTTTAGTTGTAAATGGGTTATTTGTTTGTTTGTTTGTTTATTTATATACGTTGCTGAGGATCAAACCCAGGGCCTCACACATGCCAGGCAAGTGCTCTACCACCACTGAGCCACAAACCCAGCCCTATTGTTTGTGTTCTTGATGATTGCCATTCTGACTGGTGTAAGATAAAATCTTACAGTGTAGTTTGATTTGCATTATCCTAATTGCTAAAGATGTTGAACATTTTTTCATTTTTTTGTTGGCTATTTGTATTTCTTCTTTTGAGAAGTGTTTAGTTCATTTGTCAATTTTTAAATTGGTTTTAAAAACTTTTTTTTAGTGTAAAGTTTTTTGAGTTCTTTTTTTGATTCTTTTTTTTTTAATTTTTTTTAAATGACAGCAGAATACATTACAATTCTTATTACATGTATACAGCACAATTTTTCATTTCTCTGGTTGTATATAAAGTATGTTGACATCAATTCATATCTTCATACATGTACTTTGGATGATGATTATCACATTCCACCATCCTTGCTAATCCCCTGCCCCCTCCTTTTCCCTCCCACTCCTCTGCCCTATCTAGATTCTCTTTTTAGAGTACATTGATTTCTGGAATTTTCTTTGTTTGCTTGTTTATTTTCCTTCTGTCTCCTTCCACTAAAATACAAGCTCAATGAGATCAGAGGCCTTATTTGTTTCCAGCACCACCTTATTCTCTCTCTCTTTTTGGTGGTACAGAATTATTATATTCCACAAATTTTTAACAATTTGAAATAAAATTTTAACAATTTGAAATAAATATTTGATGTTTAAATAATAGCTAAAAACTTTACATAAATCTATCATCAAATTCATTTTAGATATAAAACTTAAGATGTATCCCAGTTATTTTTTTATATATATACTCTTCCCGTCAGAGGAGTAGCTAGCAAAGATTTTCTCCCATTCTGCAGGTTCTCTCTTCATATTCCCAATTGTTTCCTTGCTGTGTAGCTTTTTAACTTGATGCCATCCCATATAGTAACTCTTGGCATTATTTTCTAAATGTTAGGAGTCTTATTGAGAAAGTGGTTGCTTGTGCCTACACGCTGGAGTACTGACCCTGTTTTTGAGAAGTTGCATAGTTTCTAACTCCTAAATCTTTGATCCATTTTGAGTTTTTTTGTGTGAGAGATAGGTTCCATTTTCACTCTTCTACATATGACGACCAGTTTTCTCAGCATTATTTAAAAGGCTGTCTTTCCACCGAGGTGTTTTTAGCAACTTGTCAAGGATCAGATGACTATCGATGTGTTTGTCTCTGTGTCTTCAGGTATATTCTCTTGGCTATGTGTTTTTACACCAGTACCATGCAGTTTTTACTACTTTAGCTCTGTTGTGTAATTTAAAGTCAGTTATTGTGTGTGATAACTTTAGCATTGCTTTTTTGGCTTAGAAATTGCTTTAGCTATTCTGGATCTTTTATTCTTTCAAATGAATTTTAGGACTGTTTTCTCTATTTCTGTGAAGAATGTCATTGGTATCTTGATGAGAATATATGCAACTATTTATTAGGCTCCTTACACCAAAAACTTCATGAGGTTTACTTGGGTCCTAATTGGACACAATATGAAAAAAATCTAAAAATAAACCAGTGCTCACAGCATACCAAGTACTCTCTTGAACGGGGCAATCACAAGCAGCCAGTGTCCTCTCCATCATCAGTGATGGTGGAACAAAGGCAAAGCTTATTTAGCGCCAAGTTTACTCAAAGTGACTCTCAGGGGTGTGACAAGGAGGTAGAGGTGTTTCTAACATTGTCTGGGAATTATGCTTTTTGCCTAAAAAGTAGCAGTGTTGGCAGGTCTTGATTTTTTTTTCCCCCTTGGCCACAGCCACATACATCAGTCTGATTATGTACCAAACCGAGAGCTGATCTCAATGGATTATAACACCCACTCTAGCATTTTCTTTCAGTAGGGGAATTAATTCATTCAATATCATCGTGTAATAATCCATGGCTTCTATTTGCAATATTCTGGAAACAACTTACAAACTACTACTGTACTGCTAGCTTATTTTGATCTGTAACAGCTCTGTGGAGTCCACCTTGTGTGGACCTGTCAACAGCACACATTCTCAGCAACTTGCTGCACTTGGGTCATCAAGAGGTTAAGCAGGATACTTGGATAACAAGTCCAATGACCAAGTTTTCTAGGGAGAAAATTTCTCCAGTGCTAATTCAATGTATTAAATTTAGCTTTCTAGATTGTGGTAGAGGTGGGTGTACTGTCAGATTCCACAGAGCTCAGAAAGGCAGGTAGGATTACCGTTTGCACCACAGCCAAGGCTTCAAAAACCCTGCTTGTGTCTGGATGGTTAGTTTTCTGGTGCAGAAACTGGCTTGAACAAACACGGCTTTTATTTGGAAGATACATGCCAATTTAGAGATGCTGGCAAAAGAAAACATTTAAATGCCAAAATTTGCTACTTTCTAAAGCCACGTATTACATTTATTTGAAATCTCCTGATTTTAAACTCAGAACTCTTGTTTAGGGAGTGATACAAAACTAAATGTAGGCAATTAGACCACAATTAGCTATGAGTAAGTCCTACTTTGATTGCTTGAAAATATCAGTGTGCTATTTATTTAATTAATTTATTTTTTGGTGGTGCTGGGGATTTGATGGGCAGCCTTGTACATGCTAGGCAAGCACTCTACAACTGAGTTATTTCCCTACCCAACCCCTTAGAGTGCTTTCAAGTGCATGGTACCAAGGATTACCTGAGGACCCCTGACACATATTTTGCCTCAGCCAGTGGTAGAACAGGATCCAAGAATCTTGATTTTAAGGACAAGTGATTCCAATAAGGCAAGTTTAGGAAAGTTGGCCTAAGGGGGAACACAGTAGAACAATACCACCAAGCCAGGTCCCCCTCACTCAGAGATATTGGGTAAACTGGAGAATGAGAAACATTCAGCTAGAATTGAGAAATCATCTACAGAACAGTTTATTTCAAGTCCAGAACACAAAATTATTCATTTTTTAACAGACCGCAAATTTTTACTGCATGAATAAGAATACTTAAGTGTTTTGCTATTCACAAGTGCAAATTTATTATTGAACTTTAGGCTCGAATGATTCATATATGTATCAGTTTACTACACAGGAGTTCTTTAACAAATTTTGAGAAAGTATTTTACATAAAAACACAAAGCATTGACCAATATTCTCCAGCCCTCACAACTGTCCTTCAGTCAAGATTTGGCTGAAGATCACACCTTCTAGAAAACAGTGCAGACTGAATAGAATGCAGTATTTATAGACTTCAGCTTCCTGCTGCAGCTAAGTTTCCCTTTCTTTGATGGCTTCTGCATGTTACACCATTACACAGGTCTTTTTCTTAACTAGTGACTTAAGTAGAATGATGTTGGTGCAACTTGTCCCCAACCAAGAACCTACAGTCATGATGAAACCAAGGAACTGATGATGAGGGCTTTTAGAAAGGGCATTTTCAACCTAATAATGAAAGAATTTAGTATCATACAATATGCTCTATTGTTTTGTGTTCAGTAACTACTGCCTGGAGTGCTATTGCTGCCAATATAATCAGTTCCCATCAAAATATAAAGTAAAAAAAATGTACACTTATATCTACTCTTACCTGAATATCTCAGATCTCTTGAGAATGTTCCACAAAAGTGGAATTTCTTCCTAAGTTACACTGAATGTGGTACAATGTGTACAACTCGGTTAACCAGTGCCTTCTTTTCATTTCCAAGATTTTTTCCTTATCTTGAATCAAAAGCACAACCTTACCACCATATCATAATGCACTGGCTGTTTAACAGTTTTGCGTATAAAGTCCAACTCAAGCTTATTTTGGTTTATTGTACATGCTTTATTAAAACGGTACTTGTATTTACAGTATCTGCAGAAAGAGTCCCTTCCAAGGTACTCTCACACACCCAGACACACCCACACAGACATCCACACCACGATCATGCACCCACACCAGTGAGATGTGAGGGTCAGACTCCTGAAATTAGGCAGCTATTGGGGATAAGAGTTGTTGATTTTTTTTTTTTTTTTTTGAAAAGAGAAAAGCACGGGGGGAATGCATTTGGCCATGACACTGCTAATTAAGTTTGTGTATATTAACATATATGGCAGTTAACACTGAATATTCCTTTTACATTCTATATACACAGAATGACATCAAGGTTTTGTGATCAACAGAATATTCCAACTTCAGTCTCAATGCTGCTTGTAGTGACTTCTGAATTCATGTAGGGGCTTACCCTAAAAATAATTCAAGTCTATGGACATGAAATAAGGCACAATTAATATTGATTTGACCTAGGGGAAAGAAGGAAAGGAATAAAACTGGTTTCAAATGATCTTAATTGGGAAACTGCTTTGACTTTAACCCACTTAAATCCATTCTAAGTTCCAAAGATTTCTTAGAAATGTTTTTTTCTTTTCCCTGACAAAGCCCAAAAAGAAAAGTTTGGGAATTCACATTTTCATGTTTCAGTAGCCTAAACTACTCAACTCAATGTGTAACTGCCTCCTCCCCTGCTCAGGGCTCCTTCCTCCTCAATGCCCGAATAAAAACGCAGCATGAAATAGGAGTCCCTTGCTGTTTTCTGAGGAGATTTGTACACTTGAGTAGCAAATACATATCTGGTTGTCTTTGATATCTTAGAAAAAGGCGGGGGGAGAAAGGGAAGGGAAAGTAGGAAAGAAGGGAGGAAGAGAGGAAGATAAAAGAGAAAGAGAAAAAGCTAAAAGTAACCTTGTGACTTTCTTGCAGTTTAAGAAATCCCTGTTTCCTCCTTTTCAGGACGATGAAGCCCCACCAGACATTACACACAACTCCAACAAATGAGTCTGGCAGCATAAATAATGTCTAATATTCAAGTCTTCATAGTGAGACCCATACATCTTGTACACAAATCTGTTGAATGTTTTTCGCAGCAGGTGAATCAAACCCAAAGACACTGGACATTCTGTGAAAGGGAGTAAGAATTGCAGTTCTGAAGGCCCCTGACTTTGGTTGTTTACAGAGTTCAATCCTGTTTATTGTGATCCTTGGTATCTTCTTCATCTGTATATTCTGAAGGTTCTTCCCCTGGTTTTAGGAGTCTGCCTACATAATCATATTTTTCTGAAAGATACATCAAAAGAAAATCAGTAATGGTCAAATTATTTCACTACTCCATCATACAGAGGTAAGGCGCTTGTCTCTCTTGGGATCATACAGAGTAAGCCCAGTTCTTCCTAATGCTTCACCATGGCTTGTCTTTAAACCTCCGGAAAGCCTGAACAAAAGAAAGCAGGAGCTTTCAAGGCTTGGGCATTAGTTTTGCAGGACAGTGCTCTATGCCAGTGACTCTTAATTGGATATGGTGTCAGAGACACATGGAGAACTTTTAGAACAATATATGTATATAGGACCCACCTCAGAGCCATCCAGCTGAGACCTTTGGGTTATGTCTGGAGAGGTGTACTTTCCTCCTTCTTTTTTTTTTTTTGTACTAGATTGAACCCAGGGACACATAACCACTAAGTCATATACCCAGGCCTTTTTATTTTTTATGTTGAGACATGGTCTCACAAAGTTGCCGGGGCCGGCCTTGAACCTATGATCCTTCTGTCTTAGCCTCCCAAGTCACTGGGATTACAAGCCTGCGCCACAGCAATCTGGCTAGACACATGTACTCTGAAGCTGATCTAAAAGTGTACTATAAAAGTGTACTATGAGTCTCGGAATAGTTCTTTAACTTTTTTTTTTTTTTTTGATAGTGGTGCTGGTAATTGACTGCATGGCCATTCAAATGCCAGAACTGACCCCCACCAGCCTAGTTCTTTAACAGTTCAAAATATTATAATCAAGGAAATGTGCTGGCAATGTAGGGCTAACAGTTATTTAAAATGTATAAATATATTGGGCTTTACATATAAGTGGGATGAATAAAATCTAATAATTTGGAGAACAGACCATGAAAAATAAATAGTGACCTTCTTGGGGCTGAAGAAAGCGGGTGGCTCAAGGAGCCCATGAGGTAGAGAATCACATGGTGAGCAGATTCAGTTGGAAATATTCTTGGGGAGAAAATGTGACTCAGTAGTCATCCAGAAAAAACATAAGATCAAAATTCATTTGTTACTTCTTACCCTATGTTTCTGAGGTTTTAGCGTGTGACCCGTCATATTATTATTCCTTTCCCCTATCAAACTCTTCTTAGATCTGCTACTTTGCTTGTTTTTATGTGACCAGGTGTTTAATTTAGAACTCTGCATGTAGGTGATATACATCAACATGTTTCTTTCTTGGTCAGGAATTGAAACCTAGGCTAAGTGAAAAAGTTACCTGAGTCAGCTAGTCAAACATGAGATAAGAGAACTACTTTATACATGACCAGTGCAAGCACCCAGGGAGCCAGAACAGCTGTTCCAGGGGACACGGTGGTCAGCTCCACAGCTGATAGTACCACCCAGGTGGTAGAAACTGACGTCACCAGGGCATGATAAAGGGAATAATAGGGGCTGTGGCTGTGGCTCAGTGGCAGAGCACTTGCCTAGCATGTGTGAGGCACTGGGTTTGATTCTCAGCACCACATATAAATAAATAAAACAAAGGTCCATTGACAACTAAAAAAAACTTAAAGAAATATATGTTAAGTCTTAAGGCTAAAAGTTTCACAATTTTTGAGATTTAAAGTTTGTAACAAGCCAAGTTTTTTTTGTTGTTGTTTTGTTTTTTTTTTGAGTTGGGGGTCTCACTATATTGTCTAGGCTGGTCTCAAACTCCTGGGTCCAAATGATCTTCCTGCCTCAGCTTCCTAAGTAGCTGGCACTAAGCTTGGTAAAAAGTCAGTAATAACATGGATTTTCAAAATAACTATCACATGTAACAATCATACTAATATTTAGATATGCTTAAAATATCATCTAATAATGATGTTAATGAAAGAGATGACAACCATAGGCTTTTAAAAGATGTGAAATAGTATACACTTCTTTATATGTAATTAATTTTCTAAAGAACCCAACAAAAGGAAGGTACCTTTAAACTGCATTTCCCATTCTCGAACACTCTCCATTTGTACTGCATTCAAATCTGAGAGATCATCATATTCATCTCTAAGTGCATCCTTATCTAGGCAAAATGTTGCCAGTCCTCTGGAGGCATCCCTACCAGCAAATATTCCATATGGACCCGCTGAAAAAAAGAAAAGAAATTATATAGACTGATTAATAATTTTAGAATGTACAAATAAAAAATCCCCACCATGATTCGTATTTGGTACATAGCTTTAATTTAAAAATATGCACGGATAGATGAGATAATGAGAAGAAATTTGTTGGAAATCTGCCTTTCACTAAAGTAAAAGCTTTTTGGTGAACATTGAACCTTACATTTCAGTTAGTTCAGATACCCCACAACTAGTCTTTACAATGAAGTCTGTGAGGAAATTTAAGACGTCAGGTTTAGAAGCCAGTTTGCTTAAGAAGCCAGGGCATTCTACTGGATGCTGTTAATAGTGGGATCTAAAAATAACCAATGGCTATGTCCTAGGCAGATTCAGGTGAACTGTGAATCTACACCATTTTCTCTTGTCCTGATTTCATCTTTGCAGGTCTAGTGATTAGTTCAATGCACAGTACATGTTTGATAAATCTTTCCTTAATAAATGTTTTGGTAAAAAACATGACCGGCTTTAAAAATATCATCTGGCCATCAAAATATGCACAAATTATCATTAAGGAAAACAACAGTTTGTCATGACTCCTGGGAATCCCAGTAAGGAGCTTTAAGGAATAGCTCTGGACTGTTTTGCTAGAGGATTTAGGTACCACCCTCAGAGAGGACTGAAGGCCTGACGGCAGCGCTGACAGTAAAGCATTCCCCAGGTATGTCCTCGACAGCAGCAGCTGTCCTGTTCATTTCTGTATCCTAAATGCTCGGCACAGTGACTGGCGTAGAAGAGTAACATAACACATTTCTTCCAAAAAAATCAACCGTAGTTCCCAATGAGAAATTAAAGATTCTGACTCTTAAACAGATTTGCTTATGAAAGTAAAATCTCTACCTAAATTACAATTAAAAAGATAATTCAGCTGTTTAAAACAGACGGTAATATCAACAAATTGAAACAACCTAATTTCTTATATAAAGAAATTTGATTAAATAAATTAGACTACATTAATATATCGAAATGCTACTCAGTTCTAAGAATGGAAAAGAGCAATCAGCAGAGTATAAGTACTTACTATGAATTAAAAAAAATACATGCATGTATATTTTATGTTTGTGTATGTATGAAAAATATCAGGGGGAAATAAAAGAATAACAAAACTCAAAAAAAGAAAAATATCAGGAAGAATATAGACCAAATACTTAATAACGACAACGTTTCTAGGGAATGGAAGAGAAAATTTGACTTCATATAATTAGTCTAGCTACTTAGGAAATTTTTTTGGTACTAGGGATTGAACCCAAGGGTGCTTTAGTACTGAGTTATATCCCAATCCTTTTCATTTTTTGAAACAAGGTCTTGCTAAGTTGCTTAGGTTCTCACTAAGTTGCTGAGGCTGGCCTTGAGCTTGTGATCTTCCTGCCTTAGCCTCCCAAATCACTGGATTACAAGGGTGCATCACCCTGTCTGCCTTGCAAATGATTTTTATAATAAAACTCTTTTAAGACTTAAATGTTTTCTTAGGTTGCAGAGTGGAATCAAGCAGATTTTTCTGCTTAAAACTCTTAGACTATAGTGCTAATAAGATTTCCAAAATACCTAAATTTTACAAAAGAAACTTTCTTGAGTCTTACAGACACTCCTATATTCCAAAGGGCATTATGTAGAGAAAACAATTTTAAAACCAAAGGCACTAGTTTCATTCATCATTATGAGTAACAGAGTAGTCAATAAGTGGGATTAGAATAAAATACTTTCTAATAAGCAAGAAAAATGGAAAACTCCTTGGGTTTTTTTTTTAAATAAGCACAAGAAATTGAAAGTTATATGTCAAAAAGGGTACCTTTGAGACAGAAATCTAAGTTTCCCTTAAGTAGACAAAAATCTACACAGTTATGAACATTTACTTGAATCACTGACAGCACTGTACTATAAAGTTTATCGGTTATGAGAAACTCATTCTCTGACAAGTTCAGGCATGGAACCCATGTGACTTTAGCAGTTAATTTCAAAATAGCATTATTAGGTATTGCTGTATTAACATAACAATGAGGGTAATACTTCTAGTAAAGTACTTTTTATCCTCCTTTTCTCATTCTTTTTTTGTTAATTTTTTTTTAGTGTTGATAGAACTTCATTATTTATTTATTTATATGCGGTGCTGAGATGAACCCAATGCCTCACACATGCCAGGCAAGTGTGCTACCACTGAGCCCCAGCCTCAGCCCTCTCTCATTCCTAAGTACTTCCCATATAAGGAATTCGATGACCACCAACAATTATCACTCAATAATTTCCCACTGAATAGATGTATCTTTATTTACTTTATTCATTCTCTTATTAAAATAAACTTAGGCCACCATTTTGTACTTTCAAACGTACCTTCCACATAAGAAAATGGGATACTATTTACCACTGGCCAACATTTAGGACTTTCAAACTTAGCCCATAATTTCAACTGATATTCAAAAGGGTATTTAGAAAAAGAAATTCAATATAGTCTAACAGAATAAAATCCAAAGTTCATTAAGTTGGAGTTAATTATCCCAGGGGAAATGTTAATTTCTAAAATTAAGCAAGGACAACTTCTAGGGAGAAGAAAAGTAGCCCATCCTAGAATAGCAGTCTTATTTCTGTTTTTGTTTTCTAGAACTCTACATGCTTTGTGGCAATGGGTGCTTTCAGAAGATTGAAGAGAGGGTCTGTTTGTGTTTGTGTGTGTGTGTAAAATTAGTGTGATAGCTTTTGTTGAGAAACAATGAAGACCAAAAATGTACAGACATTATGTGTGGCTTCTTAAGGCTGACAAGACTAAATGCTATGCTATCAACCTAAAAACAGTGACAACTGACGCACAAGAGGAAAAATAAAATGGATCATGGTTTTAACAATCTATAAATGGAAATTAATAACTTTGACTTTTAAAAGAATTTTCCAGCAACCACATTTTCCTCTCTTGGGAGTGTCACAAGGTGGAAGGTACAGATTTTGTTTTCTTTCCCACTTCAGTGACTTGCCTAAAATCACTGACAACGGGAAGTCTGATTTCCACTTTTTAACTACTGCAAATATTACATCTGGAGAAAATACACAGGGGACCCACAAACCCAAAGATGGAATGTCAACTGTGAAAACTGGAACATTTTACTAATTACAAAATTTCAGGGAAATGGAATTTTAGAATACTTGTTAAATTGAGGAAAACTGACAACAGCTTTTCTTAGCATTTTGTTTTAGCATGTACCTCCCTGTCTTGCAACAGTCAATCTATGTCAGGTACTTCAGAGTATAAATCATAAAAAAGATTTAAGTGATACAAAGGAGAGAATTATCCTAAAATCAGCAAACATGAGGTCCTGGGTTTGCTCTCCAGCAACACACACACACATACAAGAAAGAATTAAGTAAGTAAAAATAAAATCATCAATCAGTAAACCTTCCATCTGTATCTTCAATATTAAAATACACTAGGGCTTTCTCTAGTAAATTTCTCTGCCATGTTCGCCAAGGAAGCCTTGACATTGAATATAAAAACCAAACAAAACTTCATACATGTACTCTTTTTGATTTTAGATAGCTGACTTAGAAAGAGTAAATAACTCCTTAGTCAAGAGTCAATAATCCAAGCCAAATTCTAGACAAAATGATGTTTAACTCTAGTATAAAACAGGATGATTTGATGATTAACATATTGCCCTGCTCCTAGGCTGTAATGAATTAGAATTTCCCTGGAAGCATTTAACTTCTGAAAAGTTCTTTTTGGCAACGGTTTTCTTTTGCTCTTTCTTGTAAGACTGGTAAAGAACACAACATTGAGATTAAGAACTAGAGCTGGAATTGCACGGATTGTTCTGGCCAAGGAGGATTTGAGGTCTAATAAAAGGACATTTCCCTGCATTCATAATACAATCAGAAGTAGATCTGAAAATCAGCAGTACCTCCCCATCCCTCTACCCTCTTACATAACAAACCTAAATGTTATCAATTCTAATACTTTGATAATATTTCACTATCCAAACTGAAATAACAGGGAGCTACCCGAGGAAAGCAAATCCCAAATCGTATTAAGTCTATTTAGGTGCGACATAATTTACCAAAAAAAAAGCAAAGGCTGGATCAGTGGACTAACCTGTTTCTTTCTGATTGCTGAGACACATTTAGACTAATACAGACAATGTCCAACCAATTTTTTGATTTTATGAGTAAAACTAGACTGAATTTTGGTCTCTTCCTGGGACCACTGCTAGGCAGCACAGTGCTAATGGTGACTCTGGGCAGTGGCAGTGAGCTGCAGCTCCCAGTCAGCCCTGGGATGGAGGGGAAACTACCTGGACTACACAGCATACAGTGCTGCCAGTGTGTGTGTGTGTGTGTGTGTGTGTGTGTGTGTGTATGTTTATATATATTTTTTGATAAGGTATTTAATAAATTACAGGAGACAGTCAACATTTTAGTATGAAATAGGCTTTGTGTATGATAATTTTGCCCAGCTGTAGGCTGAGTTAAGTGTTCTGGAACACATTCAAGGAAGGTTATGCTGTGATTTTTGGTAGGTTAAATGCATTTTTGACTTTTTTCAACTTAATGATGGTTTATTAGGTTGTGAATTCATTATACGTTGAAGAACATTTGTAATTCAGTAATAACTAAGAGAAATCCTGTTGCTTTAATAGACACTAAGATATAATGCTGTAGAAAAACAGATTCAAAATGTCAAGAAAATCCTGTTACAAAAAAAAGAATAGTATTGTTTAGCCAATAACAAATATTCTAGGACATAATTTTAAAGATGAAATTTACTTTAAAGACAGTTAATTATATGAAAATGATATGACAGTAGTTAAAATTAAAATTTCACTTTTAGAGTAAACCCAACTGTGGTTTATATTTTTAAAAATTCAAAAATCAATAAACCTATTTGTGACTATATCTTAAAACTACTCACTTTAATATAGAATGGGGTAACATATTCTTGTAATGGCAACAATATCTGTTCATTAAAAAACAATGTTTAAAGAATAAT